CAGGCCGTTGTAGCCAGAGCTAGTCTCCAGCTAAACAGAGGCTCCAACAGAAAAGCTTGCTGTCTGACTGATTGCTAAGGCTACATGCTTACCAGCAGGATTTATAACCTTTCAGAATAAACAAACAACGTTTGACTCACCATCGTTACAGACGGTTCGGTAGTTAAAAACTGCAAGTTAGCTGAGCAAGCTAGCCACAAGAACGAGCTAACATGTAAACACGACGGGGTTGTCATGGCAAAACGACAAGATTTCTTCTTCTTCTTCGTTTTTAAATGTCGGTCCGGTTAAACCAAGGCTTCCGAATAGCTTGCATTTACCGCCACCTGCTGGACGGAGTGTGGAAAATAAATCTCGTCTTTTATTTTTCCGGTTTTACTGTAAAATAATTAATGAAATAATAATTATATCATGTCTGTTCTTCTTCCTCCTTGCAGTCTTTAATAGACTAAAACTTTCAAAGACTAAAACCTAACCTTGTTCAGAACTGCATACCCCACTTTTGAACTTCTCTAAATTGTCTTTTCTTAATCTCTGTTTCTTGTTCTTACTGTTTTATTTTTTTTGTGTTGTACGGTTTTCCTCGAGTGCCCAGAGAAGGCGCCTTAAAATAAATGGTATTATTATTAAATAATAACTGATCGGAACAGTTTCTGTTTTTATTACAGCGGAGAAACTAATAAGAAAAAGATATTAATATTGTTAATGTGGTTATTCACTGTTCCACCTTTATATATCTGTATCTATATGTATGTATTCTTTAATTGTGCAAAACTACACTACACTGCAGCAGTTTAGCTGCTGATAACCTGAGAAGCATCTTCACACACATTTTAATACAGCGCTTTTATTTGTTGAGATTAAAACACAACACAGATGTTGAAGAGTAAAAACTCTACAGAATGACAGTAAATGAGCGAACCCTTTAATATCGTTATCAGCATACAGAGAGAAAAACAACAACAGAGGAAGTATTTACATTGTTTACAGTGTTTACAGTAATATCTGATCCACAATCCTTCAGTGGAGCCTCAGACTCTCTGATAGTGTGACAGATCGTTCACCAGCACTTCCTGTCTGTGGTGGATTCTGGGCGAGATAGTACACACACTCCTCACTGCTCCTCTTTGACTTGTTGACTGTGCTGTACAGATTATTGTTTGTGAGTGGCGTCTCGCTGCTGCCTGCCAGGTAGTACGGACTTTCAACATCAGACTCCCTCCTCGGCTGCTCCTCGCCGACCACAATCTCCTCGTAAATCACCTCAGCTGCAGTTGTTCTGTCCTCAGCGAGGTTTGTCTCTCGTCTCTTTTTTGAGCAGAATTTAAACGTTAAGACGCCCAGAAGCACCAACGCAGCACCAACCACTGCACCAACAGCTACCTTCCAGGAGTCTGAAGGTTGTTGGTTCTCTGGCTCTGAATCACCGGCTGCTGTTACCCCCTTCTGTCCCGGTCCAAGGCCAGAACCCGGGCCACTGATTGTGGGTGGGACTGGTACGTTTCCAGCATTCACCACTGTCACATTGGGATCTGGTTTCACTGTCAGATATACTTGACTTCTATTACACATATACATTTTAGAATCATCTAGTGTAACATGTTTGATTTGCAGAGAGTTATCTGGCAGAGAAACAAAGCGTTTGTCAGATGTTTCCACTTTGCCATTTCTGACAAGAATCGTCGTTGTACTACCTAAGAGGTTGGTCCATGTTACATCTCCCGTCTTATGAGGACAGGGCAGTGTAGCCACAGAGTTCTGCAGCACAGTAACTAGGATGTGACTGCCTGTAAAGTAAAAAGGCAGCGATCAGTAACAGATTGAAGGTCGGTTTCTTTGCTTCAGAGCGCAGACTGTTACGTACGGAAGCTGAGAGATGCCGCGTTTGCAGTGTTTTCTTTAATTGGTGTTATCTCGTCACAAGTTAATTTATCTCATTATCTCAAGAAAACAAAAGGCAGATTTCTCGAGATAATTTATCTCAAGAAAATGGCTTGAAAATGACTCTGCTCCGCTAGCTAGCTAACTAATGAATCTTCACTCTGTGGCGCTAAAAGTTGAAGATTGATTGACGGGTGAATGTTTGATATTATTGCTTCAAATCAGTTAGTTCATGCTGACGTAAGCACGCGTCACAATGATTGGATTTAATATAAAAATACAAAGAAACTGAGTTATTGTGAATGTTTGTCGTCATATATTATTAAATAGAGAAACAATATAAGTGAGGATCAGATCTTAAAGGGTTAAAATTAAATTTTCTGTTTCACTTGGACTTTAATTTGTGAACCTGAAACCATTCGAAAGAATAATTGCAACCACGGCTGTTCTCAGCTTCTGTAGTACAATTGTGAGGTACTTTATACTTTTTACTCCACTACATGTATTTGACAGCTTTAGTTACTTTACAAATGACAGATTTTTGCACCCAAAACATATGAAGAGTTTATAAAATATGATGTTTTGCTGTAGTATAAGGAGTTTAAGTGCAACTACTAATCCTAATCTGAGTAAGAATCACTTTATATGGATACTCTACAGATAAATAAATAAACCTTACTCAAGTAAAAGTGTTTATTATGATCAGAGTTTACTGTCAGTGTTTTATTTTATATCTGATGGTTCAGTTTTAATATTACTGCTGCATTAATGTTGTATTTAACTGCTGTAGATGTTTAAGGTTGAGCTCATATGAACTACTTTATACACTGCTGGTGGTTTAATCCTGTGATTCAACACACGGAACAAGAACTCAAAGACACAGTATATCATACTCTATATACTCTGTTTTTATATGTAGTAACAGTCCCAGATACCTCAGAGAACGTATTTCTATCTGTTATTGAGTACACATTAGTTGTTTGTGATGTTCTTCCTCTCATGTACACAACTACAGACACACGTAGTGGAGTAAAACGTATAAAGATGCATAAACTCACTCAAGCAAAGAACCACAGACGTGTACATAAACACAGTATTTGAGTAAATATATAATAAAAATCAGACAAATAAAGACGTTCTCACCGGCAGAGCTGAGACAGAAACGTCCAGCGAGGAGAACGAAACGATAAAACAACATTTCTGCAGCCTGGGAACCTTCAGTGTCACTGACTGAGGAAGTTATGAGCATTAACAGTCACTGTTACTGTTACGCCTTATTTATTACAGGAACCCCAACTCAACTGTTTTTCAAAATAAAGCCACAAAAATTAACTGTATCTTAACAGAAAGGTCAAAATGAGGATAACCCTAACCCTGGTTTTTAGGGATGCACCGATATGAA